TCGCTGGCTTCCCACCGCGGTGGCCCGGGTTCGATCCCGGGTCTGGTCAAGTGGGATTTGTGATGGACAGTGTGGAGCTGGGGCAGGTTTTCTCCGAGTACTTCGGTTTCCCCTGCCAATCTTCATTCCACCAATTGCTCCACAATCACCCTCACCTATTATCTGGGGCTGGTACAATAGGCCAGAAGTGGCCGCAGTACAAGGGACTTAGTCCCACCCCACTAGCAATAAAAAACCGCTTGAGCTATGGCGCGGCCCAACCGTCATTTTCTCGAGATCTGTTGTAGTGAGAGGATTATACAACTAAAACAGCTGCTGAATGGATCACTGTTCATATGTTTCTTGCAAATTTTCCTTTCATTTTCCACACGAATAGCGAAATAGAGTATACCTGAAAATGGAGGGTGAAGCAGCGGGACAGGTGAAGAAATTCTGAGGGTTGAAATGTTGTAGGCGAACACAGCGTGCGTATAAAAAGCAACGAAATACCTGACCATCTCCGAGCGGGTGGATGGAACCCTTCAGTTCTCTGTCTGTTGTCCACACACATGGTCCTAAATTGTGACATTTGAATTCGAAATAGAGCTTTAATTATTTGTTGTTTTATATAAATTATGAACCGTAAAACTGAAAAACTTCAGTAAGATTGACACTAAATCAGCTCGCTTTGGGTATTTAGATTTATGTCAATATATTTCGCGTTTCGTAACATACGTACTGCGAAATAGGTGGGGCATGTCGTGAAACTGTCTGCACGCAACCGCAGTAGTAGAAGCAAAGCATGTTAATACGTGCTTACAACATTCAGAGTTTGACTGTGGATTTTTCTGTTGATTCCGCTGTATTGTGGGTAGCCAGTGGCTTTTCGGAGGTTCCTGCACACGATTTCCCGAAACGTCCCCCCCCCAAACAGACGCATTTTCAAAATCTAAATCTCCACCGCCATTGAAACCTTAAATCTCGGTATTAATATTGCCAACATGGACGCCGGCAGAAGGGGGAACAAACTAGGCATGTGCCCCCCCCCCAATTCTTTAAAAACACGGAGTTGAGGAAAATACGGAAATATGCCAAACACCGGTAGTACGAGGTCATTACTGGCTTGAATATAAGTTTGTATGCATATTTTCTGGCTGCCCCCAATCCTGGAAAATATCCATGGTTGCCACCTCACACAACTTTACAGACCAGAAATATTGTTGAGAACTCTTCCATACATTTTCGTAGATAGGTTAGGTTACGTTGTTGCATCCACCTGCCAAATTTGAAACCGTAGATCAAACGTTATGCAGGACTGGGTGTAAAACTGCAGTCGGGAAACTGCTTCGTAGACAAGAGTAGATAGGGGATAATATTAAAATGTATCTTAAAAAATGGGATGAGCGAACATTGGTTACATTTAACCGGCTCAGGATATCGCACATTTACCGGTCTCTTGTTATTACTGTAGTAAATATCCTGGTTCCATTAGAGGCGGAGAATTTCGTGTATAGGTGAGCAGACATCAGCTGCAGAAGGATTACACTCTGTGTATTAGAACGAGCAAGGTTTCACTGGGAGAAATGGTTTGTAAACTACAAGTTCCCCTCTAATTGAAGCTCCAATTTACGCAAGCTTCATTACATCAGCCGGCGCGTAAGGCTGACATCCTTACCGCCACCTTTGAGACGATTGTCTAGATCAGGCATTTCAAACTCAACTTGTACAGAGGGCCACCTCAGCCCTATAAATAATAGTCCCGGGCCGCACTTCAAAATGGAAATATACATTAGATTTTGATACAAGGAAATGTAATTATATTTATTATTTAGGAATAATTTCAATATATTTACCTAAAGTCACATATCTTACAGTTTTAAAAAGCAAGAGAATGCCATTTTTTACAAGTATCAAACAGCTTTTCAATATGTAAAAAAAGAGACTACACAAGAAATTATGTTAGAAATAGCAAAACATTGAATTTCCTGCAGCCTGCTAGTTTATGTCTGCGTGAGACTTCTTGTCTTCTGGTCTGTTGGAAAATTGTCTTTACAAAAAATACTTCTACAAAAATTTTAATATTGATTTTAATATCAGTTAGTTCTAAAAGTTGAGGTGCCGCATTTTGTGGCTATGGGGGCCGCATGTTTGACACGGCTGGTCTAGATAATTTGAGACCCTCAACGTCTCACAACCCTATTGGCCCCCACGGCCTGTTAGAGGGATAGCTTTACTTTACTCACTACATCAGCAGCATGATTAAAGGAACCGTGGGAAAGAATAGAAAATGAATGAATTGTTGAAGTGGTGACAAGACGCCGCAGTAGATCGCAGACGGCTAACGGTTGCTACGGAATTGTTGAAGTGGTGACAAGACGCCTAAGTAGATCGCAGACGGCTAAAGGTTGCTACGGAATTGTCGAAGTGGTGACAAGACGCTGCAGTAGATCGCAGACGGCTAACGGTTGCTACGGAATTGTTGAAGTGGTGACAAGACGCCTAAGTAGATCGCAGACGGCTAAAGGTTGCTACGGAATTGTCGAAGTGGTGACAAGACGCTGCAGTAGATCGCAGACGGCTAACGGTTGCTACGGAATTGTTGAAGTGGTGACAAGACGCCTAAGTAGATCGCAGACGGCTAAAGGTTGCTACGGAATTGTCGAAGTGGTGACAAGACGCTGCAGTAGATCGCAGACGGCTAACGGTTGCTACGGAATTGTTGAAGTGGTGACAAGACGCCTAAGTAGATCGCAGACGGCTAAAGGTTGCTACGGAATTGTCGAAGTGGTGACAAGACGCCTCAGTAGATCGCAGGCGGCTAACTATTGCTACGGAATTGTCGAAGTGGTGACAAGACGCCGCAGTAGATCGCAGACGGCTAACGGTTGCTACGGAAGCTGTACGTGCGCATAACTGTTAGCTGGGATCTTCTCTTTCTGCCGTTATATCGTGCTGAAACGCAGGTTCCTTTCTTCTCTGGAGAGCTGGTCCAGCTGAGACGTTGCACGTAACGGGACTCCCTTCCCTCCGGGTGCGCCTGCTATTTCTTTTTAACCTTTTTCTACCTGCAACCGACAGCTTCTTGTGCCTTTTATTTTGATTCTGATTTGATTACACATAAGAGGCTTCATAATACAATTATGAAGTTCTTTCTAGGCAGATTACATACAGATTCTAGACGAGGGTCAAGCAATTAATTCAGCATTTTACAACGGAACCTTATTCGGCCATGTTATCGCGCAGAATTTCGTAAGATGCAGTTATTTAAATTCAGGCTCTCGTAATATATCATGACTTCCGAAACTTGGAGAGCGTTTGGACAATATTGCGATAAGTTATTTGAATATTTGTTGTTCATTTAACGACACTGTCAGTAGCTCAAGCAGCATAATATTCTGTGATGATCCGATATCAGTAAATGAAACACTGAAGTAGATGCAGATGGAAGAAGGCGTGCCCTAATCTCAGGTACTATCCCGAAAGTTGCTTTGAAAGACCGAAGAAAATTATGAAAAGTCTCGGTCAGGATAGTCGGTGTGTCCACACCGAAATTCGAACGTGTCACCTCGCGATCTTAATTATGAAGGGTTGCAGCTTGATCCGACTTTCTTAGTGCATTCTGATAAGAAAGAAATAAATCACAGCTAAGAAAAGCTACCTGAAAAGACTTTACAAGAATTGAGTAAGCCCAAGGCAAAGTTAATTCTGTGTCCAAGAATAATGACATTAAGGCACACATGGGGAGTGGAGGTAATCCTCCACACATTTGAAGTGTTCATTTTCGATGATGGTGATCAGCTTCAAGCTTCGGCTGTATTATCACAGAGACTCCGGTATTTATTGGATAGGAAGCTGTGTGGGCCCCAGAGGCGGTCTGGATGTGGTGGCTAAAAGGAACATTTTCGCTTTCGCTGGAGAACGAATTTCAATGGTTAGAGAGTGGAGTTAATAGGAATTAGCTCTCTTAGGCGGGCTCAATTAAGTGGTTACCCCTAATCTGAGGACGGGAGAGGATCCAGCACCGAAACCGCATGTTCTATTCCAGAATATGGGAGATTTATAGATCTGGATTAATAGTACTATGTGTAATAATTAGTCAGTTTGACAGGCAAGTCCATAGTAACTGAGTTAGGTGTCTGGTTCATGGGGTAATTAATTAGTTGGTTGATTAGCCACTCAGTTAATAGTAAGGGAATAAATTTCACATAATAATAACAGTCAGACTTCTTGTCGAATTTCCTATGCAACAGAATTCACAGGCCTATACCTTGGAATCAGTTGGTACGTGACACGACTGACATTAGCTTCCAAAACAGGGAAGATCTGTAAGTTATCTATCTCCTGTTGCTCCCACTGGGAACATAGGACATCCGTGAAACTCTTCGTTTCGCTTCAGTTTTTCTAAGTTCAGACGGTCGGTAGGCCTCCTTGGATGGCGGATCAGCCCGACGCAAGGTCGCTACATACACAGGAAAACACAGACACAGAATAGACGCAGACAGACATCCATGCCTCGAGTTGGATTCGAATCCAAGACCCCAGTGTTCTATCTGGCGAAGACGGTTCATGCCTTAGACCGCGCGGCCACCGTGATCGGCTCAAGACAGTAAGCTGTCTTCTAAAACCGAACCGACATTGAAAACTACAGCACAGATATATCTCTAAGGCTAGTCTTGTATCGGAGGAAGTTGGTGCCCAGTTCTTTATGGCCGAACTTCGAATTCGAAATGATAAAAAATACAGACGTGTTGGAGGAATTTCTTCCTCCTCCTCCTTGACAGAACTTCGACCATTCGACTTCGAGATGATAACATAACGTCGTCTCTGAAGTACTGCCTCATCTTTCACGGTCAGAATTCGAACTTCGTGCCTAAGAAGTATCTTAACATTTTGCACATATAAAATATGTAATATCCTCAAGTCTCGTGGATGTAATGAGTCTGCTGTTTGGGACTTGCTACGAAATGTTTGTCTTACGCCTTGCGGCGTGTGACATGCAGGTCAATTGAAGCGAAACTTACCTGTCGTTGCGTTGCTGGCTGCAGGAACGAGTTGGACAGTTTCCTTCGGTGGAGGTTTAGGAGGCACTGCAGTTGTCCCTGCAAATGGCTGCACCGTACTCGGCTCAGCCGCGGATTCGGGTTGCCTTTGAAAAATAAGAGAAACGCAGGCTTATATAGTGGTCACACCCTTTAATACTGTCACGTGTTAGTGAACAGACTCATAATTAGATTTATTGGACGCTACAAAACGTATCCGCTTGAAAAGGCAACGCTCCGAAATATGACTTTTCCCCTTAAGAGAATAAGACACAAGGGTTTCCAAAAATCTTATATTCGGACATATAAATTATTCTGTTTTCTAGCAGACGGTAAAAAGTTAAACCTGAAATTGTCTTTATGCTTAATTAATTAAGCACCACGCCATGAAGACGTATGGGGAGTAACGGTATAGCTCCATTCATTCTTAACCTCTGCGCTAGTTGGAGGTGAGTGGTCAGTTTTGCGCCTTGGCTGCTTTACCCTTGGGGATATCGCCCTTCGTGCCCGTCGAATAAAACGCTGGATTGGACCTAGAGGCGGGCTGGGCACTGGATAAGTGAAAAATCTCTTACCTTGCCGGGAATCGAACCCCTATTTCCCGGCTGTCCAGTCCGTATCCTAAGTAACTCAGCCTCTAACAGAAATGAGTACTAGGAATTTTCCAGAGAGCAAAGGGCGGCCGGCGCGTAAGGCAGACAACCTCATCGCCATCTATGAGCCGATTGTCTAGAAAATGTGGGAGCCTCGACGCCTATTAACAGGGATAACTTTACGTATAGTGCCACCTGTCTGGATGGGTTGACGACAGCCAGACTGAGAAAAAAAGTCTTAGACAAAATAGCAGGTGTCCTGGCCGAGATCCGAACCGAGTATCCTCCAAAAAAAATCAAAGGCTTTACCGCTACGCCAGTCGGCTCTATTACGCTCTTAAACGGGTTCTCTTTCTTAGTGGCTATAAGGCTGTAATTGCGTTGCTCTCTCGCGCTACTCTCGTTCGGTTTACGGAATTTCGCCCTTACGGATATTATAGAATATAGCCATAAAATTCACAATGACTTACCATAAATTCGTCCTTACCGAAATTTTGGGCAAGTATTAGTTTTCAAACACAAATTAGTGAAACAAAAATAAATTCAGCTCAAACTATTTTTTTTTTAATTTTTATTTGTTAAGAAATTTAGATTACACATGCGCAGTGCATTTACATTATTTAATGTCTGTGTACGTATTATTACTTGAGAGGCAGAAGAGCGTGTCTTTATTGAATGTGTGGACCAAAACTTTGTCGGTAGGAATGCGTCACTATTACCAGCGCAGGAGTCAACAGATGAATAGAGGCCGCTTTAAGAAAAAAAAAACCCCTTCCGTATCTCATTGGCATCCTGGACATTAGGTAGCAAGCCAAAAAGATGGACTATTACTGTTTTCATGCTGGTCATAACCATCTCTTGCCGTAAATGAAATATGTCCCGAAACGTTTTAACGTAACCTTGGAATTGTGTAAAATCAGGAATAAGTACGTTTACAGGATACGATAACTGACATTTCGAGTGTTGTAAATTTGATTTGGATAAAAGAGAGCTAGTTCATGTGGCTGAGAAATAGATGGAGTTATCTGTGGATATTATTCAAAGACTGAATTTGGTACTAGCAGTACTGAACCATCGGGTTAAGCTATCGGAGAACGTAATTGGTTTGCTATTCAGTTACCAGTAGTTATCATTTCTGTCTCATATCGATCGGCTGTCTATTAAATTTATGACTTTTGCGATAGCTTCAAATTGTTTTACTAGGTACTTCCAGAAAAAAATGTTGCGTAGTACCTTAAAAGCGAAAAGTCCACTGCATGTTAATCCTAAGTTTCAATTCTTTGTGAAATACAGAAATAATTAGCCTAAGCAGCTTAAACAAACATCGACAAGCTAATAATTGATATAGGCCTATTAACAATCAAGTTCCTTCCGTCAAATGTGACACTTTTTTAAGTTTTTAATTGGTTAGTGTGACGGACCAGAATGAAAGACCTTAAACTGATATAGGCCTGTTTTATCAGGCTGGAAGTCATTATGTAATGACTATCATTCTTAATTCTTATGCAGATAGGAGATAGAATGTAAAGGTAGAATAGATTACGAACATTATAATGGAAATATTACGCAGATAATTAGGCAAAAGTGTATATGACACAGCCTTATTTTTAATATCCCGAATCATTTTAAAAAGCACTAACTAATTAGTCCATGAAACAGAATACTTCTTCAGAAGTTAGTATTCATTTAATTACTCAAGTCATGTTAAAAGCTTGCATGCCTTTTTGATCTAAAAAACATTCATAAAATTTTTAATTAATGGCATATGACCGTAATAAAACTGAAACCCAGGTCTGTGGACAAATTATCAATGCATCCCTCAGGGATTTTATGCAGATGCTAGGTAGAAGCCACGCTACGTTATGTGAATAACGCAGAATTAATACATAATTCTCACCTGAGTCTCGTTAACTCTTGCTCGTGTTTGGTTAACTTAATCTGGTTCTCCAGTTCTGTCATATGCCTGTTTATAGCAAGGACAGCACTGGTATAGTTGTGATGTTTGGTGAACTTGCATTTGAAATCATCTGGCGAACCACAGTGAAATAAATAACAGCTTCCAGGACTCTGAAATACAATTCCGAAATTGTGTAATGTTCGAAGTGTAAATAGTTTGAAAATTAACTGAGTTTTTATGAGATATATAATCTTTAAATAAAACATTCTCTACTTACTTTCTCTTCAAACACGAATACATCACACGTACTTGTTTCACAGCATAATCTTAAACACTCTTCTCTCGAACTCAAATCTATTTCATTTATATATTTAGCTCCCATTGCTCTGGAGTCTTGTGTCCGAATTATTTTGTCCTTATGTATATCAAAATTATCAACACAAGTTTGCATATCTAGGTCATAACGTTTGGATATCGTTTTGATCTGCTCTTTGGAATTGGCGATATTTGCCCCTCCATTTTCTGCTATTATACCACTGCTGATAAAAATATATATACAAAAGACTAACTTCATAACATGTCGTACTTCACCACCCATTTTACTAACAAATTCGATGTAAACAATGAGCTTTTAATCTATAATTCCATGATAGTAACGTTAAAGGACGCACTTCGGTTGATTATCAGCTGTGAAAATAAATATGGCAGAGACGATCAATGATTCCAACTGGAGAGAGTCGCCGCGTCACTCCATGCCACGTGGCGTCGCCATTGCAAATGGCGCGCAAATCGAAACATCCGCGCATCCAGGTGTGACCATATAGCAGAATCACTTCTGAAATGGATTGCAACTCCTTTTCTCCATGGCTGCTTAGGAATCTTAAAATTGCGGCTACCTACACAGAACATAAACAGAATAAACCCCTCAAGTGGGATACGAACTCACCTTCCCAGTGATACATTTCTTGCCTTAGACCGCGCGGCCACTGCGGTCGGCTGGACATAATATTATATAATATAAAAAGGTAAAGCCATCCTTGAACTAGGCACTGGAGGCCCATATGCTTGTGAGACGTCGAGGCTCTCACATTTTCTAGATAGTCGGCTTACAGATGCCGGTGAGGTTGTCAGCCTTACGCGCCGGCCGCCCTTTACCTCCAGCAAGATTCCGGGTACTCATTTCTGTTAGAGACTGAGTAGACTAGGCAACCTAAATAAATCAAGAATTTACTCATTGATATCCTCTCATTCTTTACACACTAATTTTCGCGGTACTTAAAACGTACTTATGAGAATCGCTAGGTGTCCTGTGTTTTTTCTTAGAAAGAGTCGAAGAAATATGTTTAGGGGCGGGCTGTGTATACTCGTATATTGGCTGGCAGCAATTCACGGGTTTCCATACTCGTCTCGTCACGCAACCGGACACCGGACGATCCGTTTGATAGAAAACATTTACTTAGTTACTTACTCATGGAGCTGAGACCTTCTTGAGTAGCCGAAAATTCTGCAGCTACTTAAGAATTTCCAGCATTTTATGGAACCCGAAGGTTCATTACCGTGTTCACAAGAGCCCTCTACTGATCCCTATCCTGAGCCAGAACAATCCAATCCATACCACACCCTCCTGTCTCTCTTAGATTCATTTTAATATTGTCCACACCCACCTACGCCTTGATCTTCCCAGCGATCTCTTTCCTTCTGGCTTTCCTATCAATATCCTATATGCATTCCTCTTGTCCCCCATTCGTGCTACATGCCCTGCCCACCTTATCCTCCTTGACTTGATCATTCTAATTTTACTAGGAGAAGAGTACAAGTTATGAAACTCCTCATTGCACAGTTTTCTCGAACCTCCTGTTAATAGAAAAACATTACATTCTGCATTTTATTTTAATGTCACTGAAGCATATCACTCAGTAATTATGCATGTCTGTACCTTATTTGAACTTCAGGAAAGTGTCTGGTTTAGTAGGATGGCGCTACATGTCTTAAGGCTACAGCAACAATGGATATTCTGAAGGAATTCTTCGGAGACATAATAATAATGAAGTTATTGTCTCCGCCTCGATCCCCGGATATAATACCCCCTGAAATCAATTTGTTGGGGTTTCTTGAAGAACTCGTGTGACGAAAGAATGTGAGAAGCATACAGCGACCCGAAGTGAATAGTGAAAATAACATCTGCAGCATCACTTCGGAAATTCTTACACGTGTCTGTTGAAACGTGGCCCAAAATGCGAATAAGCGAAGGTTTTAACTGTCGAAACTCTAACCAGAGATGTGAATTGTTTCTTTCGAAGTTTCCTCCTATTTCTTGCATTTGAAATCACTCAGAGCATAATGCGACTGCATAATAATGCGAAAGTATTTTACTAAATGTACACTTATATTTTGACGTGACACTTGAAAGCCGGAATAGTGGAGCCAGAAGAGACGTGCATTTCTAGACAATAGCTCAGTAAACACTTTTCCGCGGCAACGAATACACACGCAAATACAGAAGATCCCTGGAAGCGGTGTTTCCTAAACGTTCTTTACCACAGTTTTACAACAAGGACCAACTGGATAACCAAGTTAGTTCAGTTTAGTAGAGATGGAAGACTGTGTATACTCGTATATTGGGAACTGTCAAGGAGATTCTCGAAATGTGGAGGGTGACCTAGGTGCAAGAATACCAGCAGGTGATTCAACAAACTGAAAATCAGTCGAAAAATGTATTTTCTTGCTATAGGCAAGCCGACCGAGTTGCGAAGCGGAGTGAAGGCCATAAGAAAATCTTGGAGGAATATTACACCAGATACCGGACGAATTTATAGTAGGCGACTCGGGTCCCTAGAAATATCTTCGTTCTGTCGAAGATACCTAGAGATGTCATGGGTCTGAAGGCTCCCAGATCCGTCAGAGAGTAAAATACGACTTTGAGTCCGGTGGGACTCGGAACCGAAAATCACTATTCTGGTTTGTTGATTGTGGCTGCCTTGAACGTTCTTACTGCGGCAGGAGTTCTATTGTGTTTTCACACAACACACAACAGAACTCCCCCACATAACCGTAATAACCAGAGGCAACTACGTACAATAGGAGAAAAGAAAACCCTATTGCAGTGAGCAGCAGAACCCTTAACCATAACAACCTGTACACCTGAAGATGGCCAGTTAGGCCGAAACATGTAGTGTCAAATGAAGGAATATGAAGAAAGAATAGTGAACGACGTTGCTCATGGACGGCACAAAAGCTCCTAAGTTGTTTTACTTACTTACTCATGGAGCTGAGCCCTTCTTGAGGAGCCGCCAATTCTGCAGCTACTCAAGAATTTCCCAGCGTTTTATGGAACCCGAAGGTTCATCACCGTGTTCACAAGAGCCCTCCACTGGTCCGTATCCTGAGCCAGATATATCCAATCCATACCATCCCATCCTATCTCTCTGGGATCCATTCTAATATTGTCCACCCACCTACGCCTTGGTCTTCCCTGTGGTCTCTTTCCTTCTGGCTTTCCCACCAATATCCTATACGCATTCCTCGTCTCCCCCATTCGTGCTACATGGCCTGCCCACCTCATCCTCCTTGACTTGATCATTCTAATTATACTTGGAGAAGAGTACAATTTATGAAGCTCCTCATTATGCAGTTTTCTCCAACCTCCTATGACTTCATCTTTCTTCGGTCCAAATATTCTCCTCAACACCCTATTCTCAAACACCCTCAGTCTATGTTCCTTCCTTAATGTAAGAGACCAAGTTTCACACCCATACAGACCAACAGGCAAAATTATAGTTTTGTATATTCTAATTTTTATGTTTTTGGACAACAGACGAGAAGACAAAAGGTTCTGGACTGAATAGTAGCAAGCATTACCCGAGTTCAATCGCCTCTTAATTTCCTCCTGAATGAGGTTTCGATCTGTTATCATTGTTCCCGAATATCTTAACTGTGCCACATTTTCAAAACATCTGTTTCCTATCTTTATGTCATGATCCTAAGTTGTTTTACATATCAAAATTGTATATTTTTGTAATGAAAATATTACGATTTTTCGTAGGAGGAAGGTTTTGAAGATCCGAAATGAACACAAACAAACAACCAATGATGAGCATAGATGTCAGCTGTGTTCTGCTACCGTTGTGTTTAAAAATTATTTGCTGGAAAATTGTCTTTGCTTTTTTAAAATTACCCGGGCGTTCGAGTATGATGCGTTAGTTATCATTATACGTGCGACACCTTGTACCCGATGTTGGAACTACTGCTAACAGCAGCGCCCTCAATGATGGTGGTGAATGTTTGAAACTTTCAGTTGTTCGGTGAGTTTGGATGGTTTTAGTTGGTTGTGTGTGGGGTCCGTGGGTTTTTGACATAATTGCTTAATGATAGTGATGTGCAAGTGATACTTAATTAACTCTGATAGATTTGCCATTCTGATTATAAATTCGGAGTATAATAAGCGTCTTTAACGTTAAAGTACTTAACAGAAACGGTAAGTAACCCATGCTTTGTCTAATCTAGAGTTAAATTTTGATTCCGCATAATAGTGACAAAAAGTGTTGTGCATACTCCCTGTGGTATCAGAGTTCAATTTTGGGACACTGTGAAGAAGACAAAAGAATCAGTTACTTGCATGAATGTACTAAAAATGTTTAGGTTCCTAACAGAGACCGGTTGCAAATGATCTGCACACAAATTTATTTTTCTCTGACATAATCGAATGGTTGTTTCCTTTCCATTGACTGTGACATATTCCTATGGGAGTAGAACTTTTTCACTGATATGAATGAAATAAAGTAGTCCTTAATTGTTCCAATAATTTAATATATTCGCTTGCTCTGCTTCGGATATTCAGTTTTTGAAGTTTCGAGAGACCTATTGTAATGAAATATTATCGCTTATTATTCCAGTAGGATTTGATTTTCTTGCATTTGTAATTCCGGTTAGTGCAGTAAATGAGTCCACTGTGACTCCCGATTATCCCGGGGTGGATGCGAAAACCGGAAACCCCGGAGAATCGGTAAAGGAATACGTAACTAACTGTAAACCGGGATTTATAAAACGATGATTCGTACGTGTATTTTACTCGTGGGCTATTTATAAAAAGATGAGTGTCTTTTCTGAGATGCTCATTTGCCGTTTCTGCAATTAAAAGAAGAAAAAACACATTTTTCTCGAATGTCAAAGTACATATTCAGACTCGAAATGAAACATCTACGTTTGGTATTTGCTATGTTTTCAAATGAAGTTTCACATAAAGTATATCTGTAGACATTGGCCAGAGTCGATTTTATAAACAAAGACCCAAGAACCCCCCCTATACCGCCGGTTAGTCATGAGGCTACATCTGTTTACAGTTTGAACAGAAAAGTAGATACATTTTGTAAGATGTGAGGCATGATGGTGGCAGTTAAATTTGACTGTGGCTGTGAAGTTTGGTACTTGTCAGACCACACCAGACTGGATTATTTCACCGAGCTACGTAAAGATTTTCAATGGCTGGGGGGGGGGGTCTCCATAAGACAAGGTTTCTATCTGGATAACTAGTTAATCCAATATGTATGTTTATATGGTCATGGATTTTCAAGGATGCACTTAGGTTTAATGCTTATCTCTGACATTATTTCTTAAAAGAAAATTTTAGCTGGAGAAGCATTCCTGTATTTACTACACTTCCAAACAAATTGTCCCTTCATGTAGGCAGTTTAACAATGTAGATAAGAACTAGTTCACTGTCCTCATGATGAGTAAGACTGTTCTGAGACACAACCAGCAGATCGTGCTAGTCTTCCTCAAACATGCAGGAGACTTGGAGCAGTTAAAGTAGACATTTAGAAGTTTGTCTTCATTTCAGAACAAGCAGCCATATCCAATGGAGTGTGGCGTGTCTGCAACCTACCCGTCCACAAATGGAGGAGCTCCTAATGGTATAATGACAGATGTTCGAAGTGAACGAAGCCCAGCAAAATCTGGTTTGCACGTGAACTTTAGCGAGAAGGGTGAAGTGAAAGAAAGAAGGGAGAAGTTCCTGACAGCAAAATATGGAAGTCATCAGATGAGTTTAATTCGCAAGAGGCTAGCAGTGGAAATGTGGTTGTACGATGAACTCCAGAAGTTGTATGAGCCTTCGGTAAGTTATTTCTCTTTTGTTTTAGATATATACTTCTTATTCTTTACCTCTATGCAATTGTATTCTAGTTTTCATGTAACATTACTATCCTAATAAATTCTAAAGTGTTCTATGTTGATGTATTACACTTAGTGTTATGAAATTTATGGAGTTTGTCATGTAATATTCTGAGCACAGCATAATGCAACATTTTGGAAACCGGATGTGTTTCTGTCCATAGTTTGAAAAATGTGAGGTGGCACCTGCTCCTTTGAGCCTGTTAGAAAAAAAACTAATGTCGGTCACTTGACCAGTGATCGGATTTAATTTTTAGTACGTACACATTAGCATGTGACCCACAAGAAGTCCACAAGGTTAGGTTTTTGATTTTGTTCTAAAGATGTTACACCTTTGATTGTATTTTGAAAAGGCATTTAGTTCGTTTGCAGAGAAATATATATAAAAGTTTTCTGAGGTTAAACTTTGCATTTTGCTTTACAAATAATCTTATACAGTTGGCAGTTGTAATGTAAAGTTTTGAAATTACTTTGGTCACCATTAGTACATAAATATCAACTATTTTTCTGACATACCAAACTGAGTAGGTGCTTCCCCATCTTTTCAGCTGAGGACAGAAACAGATTTAGTTTCCAAAATATTGTGTTCTGTTCAGAATACTGCATGATGGAAAAGTCCAGAAACGCAGTAATACTAACTGCTACCTGCTGTTTGGTATAGATGTCACAAATATTGAGATGTTTGTTAATCCCACGTGTTTTAACTAACTATAATTTAGTTTGTTAGAAATGTTTTTGTCACAGACAGCATCACATGGATTAGCTTTGTGAAGGTGGGTTAGAACAACAACAGGCCTACTTATGGGTAGAAATGTTTCTTCTTGCTTTTACTGAAGTTGTAAGAGTCTGTTGAATCTGTAGTTTATTCTGTATATTAGGCCTGTATATAACAGAAGTAGGCAATTAACCGTGCTTTGGGGATGGATGTGGCTGCTTCGATGTGACATTAGACCAGGAAGCCTTTTGAGAAAAGCTGTATAGTTCAAGAAGTGTAGGCAGCTATGAATTATGGACACTTATTGGGAATTCTATAAAGATTTGCCAGTATATGATCTTTGAAATATTTGAAATTAATTTGGACAATCTGTACATTGATAAGTGCTTTCAGGATGAACATATATAATTTTTACCATGAACACAATAATACTTTATTATTTATTTATTTATTTATTTATATAGCATGCAGCACTGCTATAGAAAAAAATAAATAAATAAATAATAAAGAATTGTTGTGTTGAGGCTAAAAATTATATATGTTCATTGTATATACGCAACAGGATACAGTCCTTGAAAATAAAAAAAAATGGAAATAAAAATGCTTTCATGATATTGAGACTTTAAAGTATGAGTAGAGGTTGGAATGTGCCTCTCGTATCCCGAGTTCTAAGTACAGTAATTGAAAGTAACGACATGTACAGGGGTCTTCAAAACTTACATTTAAGCCAAACTGTACTCTCTTAAGAAGGCAGTCACAATTAATAAGTCAGACTTCTACTAGGTATGTTCCAATTTGTTAGCTTTGGTATATGTTTTAGAATTCCAAACACCACAGGCATATTCAAGATTAGATCCAACTTGAGTAAAATATATATAAATGGACATTCAAGGGATGAGAAGGAGAAGCTTACACTGCAAACTAGACTCCACAACTTAATACACCGAGGAAATATACGCTGTAGCAGACATGATTATGGAAATTAAATTTAGAATACAGAAACACTGCCAGATCTTCAGTACAGTCAGTACACATTATAGGTTAGTCACAGAATTTATAATTAATTTCAGTTCCATATTTAACAGCAGAAACAGCAACAATTTTGACCATGATTTCTGCCTGTGGAATTATGTCTGATCACTTGTCAGATTAAGGATCCCCACGGCCGTTAATCTCGGTTTCCTAGACCGGAGCCGCTATTTCCCTGAAGTAGGTCCTCAGTTATCATCACGAGGCTGAGTGGACCCCGTTCCAGACCCACTACTTCTCAGAATATGTAGCGCTGGGATTCGAACCCGGGACCTCTGGATCTGTAGGCAGGCCACTAGACCACAGAGGCGGTCAGCATTGCTGATAGCCTTTGAAAATCACTCAGTAGAGTTGCAGCCGAAACAGGATCGTTAGATAACGTACTACCAATTAACACATGCACACGCCTCTAGTAACTGTGTAATGTTACTGGGATAGAAAAATAATATGGGATCCTGGTGATTTAATTTCGTTTGTTGTTTCACACAGAATGTGTTTGTCCGTGTGCGCACCATGCATTTGCTTCCTACAGCGGATTCGAACCTATCATACGCCCGTCATGGCCGACTCTATATTAGAAATAAGACAAAATGAAGTTCGTGGTGTCGGCATTATATACGTACATAGTATCTTGAGGAGACGTGAAGGTCGGTGCAGGCATTGTTATGACGAGATTAATGTAAATGAGTCTGAAATTACTATAATTACTGGCATGGTAATGGAATGCATACGTGCTTCTCAAACATGCCAATTCAGAGCTACAGGAGCCGACAGTGAACTATGAATATATAATTTCTTAAATTTATACGCCACCTGTTTTGTTTGACTGCTTATTAAACAATTGTATCTTTTTATTTCGCAAAATTAATGCGGTCTTGTATGTCTTTAAAGCATACGGTATTAACACGTACATTCATAACCAGCGACTGTCGTACAGAGAAACGGTCAGCCTTAGTGTGATGGGTCTCTATCTCTCTGTGGATCGCTGAACATGGCGGTGCTTGAGATTTGAAGTGATCTGTGATATTTACTTCTAAGTATTTTTTTATTGCTAGTGGGGTGGGACTAAGTCCCTTGTACTGCGGCCACTTCTGGCCTATTGTACCAGCCCCAGATGATAGTTGAGGGTGAAGGTTCTGGACTGAATGGTAGCAAGCATTACCTGAGTTCAGTCTCCTCTTAATTTCCTCCCGAATCAGGTTTCTATATGTTATCGTTGTTCCAAAATATCTGAATTGTGCCACATTTTCAAAACATCTGTTTCCTATGTTTATATCATGATTTTGCCCTGCATTTTGGTGACGAGAGAGCAACATATACTTAGTTTTCTCAGTGTTTACTTCTAGACCAACCTCTTTCTCTCTCTGTGGCGCTACAGCCCCAATTTGGGCCTAGGCCTACCTCCATGAAACTCTCCGTTTCACTTCGGTTTACTAGATCTTACACATTCAGTAGGACTCCTTGGGCGAGTGATCAGCTCGTCGCTAGGCCTCTACCTGTAGACAAACACAGAAAAACGCACACAAACATCCATGCCCTGAGTCTGATTCGAACCCACGACCCCGGCTTCCGAGCGAGCGAAGACAGTGCATGCCTTAGACCGCTCGGCTACCGTGACCGGCTGACCAACTTGATATCTGTTATTCCCAGAATTATAATGTCCTTGTTGTCTGTGGTTCGTCGTTTTGTATCTGCAGCCGCTGTGAGAAGATGCATTTATGTCGTCTCCACTCTTCCCGTAGTCATATATCGCACCTGGCATCTGTCTGGCAGCGCTGCCAACCAAGATGCCAAGTGCTGATGTTGCTGGCAGCGTTGCCAACCAAGATGCTAAGTGCTAATGATGCTGGCATCGCTGCCACGAAGACAAAGGCCAAATAGACATCACACGACAGTCTGAGGACAGTCAATTGACGTCCTTGCGTGTATTGTGGCAGCTGGACGCCATGGCATCCTGGTGCGATACCGCCCTTACTGTCCCGTGTTTGGATCCACATAAAGTCACAGATATGCCTGCTGCTGTACCCCGTAGAATGTTAGTAAGGTTTGCATAATGTATCCACAGTTATATGGTCTGTATAGTTCGATGGAACTGCTTAATTCTTGTAGGATTTTGTAGCCCCGTGAATTCATCTAGCAGGTTGGTATAGCGGTTACACTGTATCGACTTGTACAATGAAACCTGTGAAGTTGACCACCTCTGTAAGTCGGTCACATGCCACAGCTGCCCGAAATTTTTGTGGCCGGCAAGATCAGAGCAATTTCTACATGAATAACCCTCTGTATTTTGGCCGACTTTGTCTTATACCGTGGTCACTTTGCATTTCATGCTGTGGTTGTGTACGCATTTTAACCTTTCTATGTTGCCCATACAGAAAGATGACCTTTTTTTCTTTTTGCAAAAATCTGTACAGCTGAAAATCTCTCCACTTTTTTTGTCTCTTGCAGATAACGGCCAAACACACTTTTGATATTTTTTTGCGAGCGATGAATCTGTTATTAATCCATTAAATGATACAGTCTTTTGTTATTAAAATTACCACTTATGGTTGATCATTGCACTTCATAAGCAGACACGTTTCTTTCATATTCATTTCAGATCCAGTGATTTGATATTGAGTAGGCATGGGGTCAGAAACAAAACAAAGAGCTTTAGCAAGCGTACACGATGGCCAGATTAACACTCATGGGATAAGACGAGTACCTTCGAGCAGGTTACGACCGCCTGCTTACAGAACTAAGCATACAGACTGTGTAATAATCTTGTTATCTCACTGGACGATGTACAGTCTCTGATGTCGAAACTGCGTATTTAAGTGACATTTACAACTCAATATTAGATCCATATCTCAGTTGATAAGACTGTTACACTAAACGTTACAGTTCCTTAACGTCTAAACAAATCTGTAAGTAAGTTTACCAAATAATTTAGTGATTTTTCCGCGATAACGGGATTTACCACACAAAGTGATGATAATTTGACTTGCCTTATTCGTTCTCTATGTGCTGAGAAGCTGATAGTTGCCTTCCGTTCAAGCAGTTCCACACTATTTAATCATTTGGTGTCCATGGAACATACTGTAGAGTTCTTTTGGATTTTGAACATTGATGTCATTCGGACAACAACAATTTGAGTTTTCCACTGATGTGAATATGAAGACTACTGTCCTCATAGATGTGACGCCATGTAGTCTAGTATA